GGGGGGGGAGGCTGGGAGGGCCTGGTGCCCTCCTTCTGGGAGATTTGCTTAAGTGGAGCATCAGTCCTGGCCACAGGAGATGGTGATGGAGCCGCAGGAAATGTCCAGGGCCTTGAAGAGCGTCTGGACGGGGCACGGCGCTGGGAGCTGGCCGGCGTGTGGGAGCCCTGTCTGGGCGCAGCCCCCCAACCCTGATCCCTGAGCATGCGCAGGTGTGGCCAGGCCTCCTCAGGGCTACTGGGAATGTCACCATCTGTCAGCGGGGATGCTCCACGAGGTTCTTGCTCCAGGGGGCTCGCAACTGAGCGATTCCCCAGCTCAGCGTGGAGCCGTGCCTCCCCGGCCCCCTCCCCGGCCCCTGACTCAGCCGCGGCCAGGCTCACCCTTGCACCTGCAACCTACAGCCGACCCATTCTCTGCTGAGGGACTGGCCACGTGCAAGGTGCTGCCCTGTCCATAGCCCCCACAGCCCCTGAGATGCCACCAGCTCCTTCCATCTGTGAAGGGGTCCTGGGGCTCGGCCAGCGAGGGCCGAGCTTTCTGCTGGAGGCCCACTGCCCTGTCTCCACCACGTGACAGCCGGTCTCCACAAAGTGAGACGCCTCGTGCAGGCTCAGCACGGCCAGGCAGGATCTGCAGCCAGACCCGAAGGCCCCTTGCGAGCCCTGCTCCCTGGCGGCCCCTGGTGCCGCTGGACCCTGGCTGGACTCTTCTCACTGCCTGCACCAGCAACGCCTCTGCAGGCCACTGGGCACGACCACCCGTGGCTCACCTCCCGTGGCTCACCTCCCGTGGCTCACTCTTATGTGGCTCGCCCCCCCACCAGCACTAATTAAAAATAGTCTCAGTGGCCAGCCACAGTCCAGGCTCCAAATGACAGGTGGCCAGTAGCCACCACACTGTCCACGCTCCCACTACCAGACGCGGTCCCACCGGGGCGGGTGGCTGCCCAGGTCACCCACCCTGGTGGCCCCGGACTGGCGGCTTGGGCACGCTTTGCTGTCACGAACGGTGGCGGATTAGACTCCCTTTCAAAATACTTATTTGGGTGAAAACGAAGCCACTTGATTTAAAGAACACTAGGAGCGCCTGGCGAAGGGAGGGACGCCTGGTGCACAGGTGCGGCTTGGGTGTGAGTGACCCCGGAAGGCCCAGGCGAGTTCACACTCTCACCGGCGGCCGCATCGGCTCGAGCACCCACAGCCCCCCGCGCGAGCACACGGCCTCCCGCTCCCCCGAGCTCTCGGCGCATCCCCCTGGCTGCGAGCGCCCCCTGCCCTCTGGGCTCACGCACCCCGGGCCACAGCAGGCAGGTCCTTACTCGGCTCCTGAAGCCGGCTCCCCTCTTTCTATCTCTGGGATCCCCAGGCTTGCTCTGCTGCTCCCGACTCCCTCCCAGGAGGGCAAACACCGAGACTGCGGGTGGCTCAGGGGTGCCCTGGGCCCCACCCCAACCTGGGCACGTCACTACTCTGCAGAAGAGTGGGCTTCGCAGGCTGCCCGCACTGTCCCTGGCCACCCTGCCCGGCCAGGCCTGGGCCCTCCCTGGGGCGCCATGGCCACCTGGCGGAGGCCGGGGCTCCCATAAAAAACCCCGCTGACCCTGGACGCAGGCCTTACTCACGCTCCGCGGGCAGGGTGCCCACGGAGGGGGCAGCGCCAGGCGGCCACGGAGGATACTGAAGCTCCTGTCGGTGACGGCCAGATGCCACAGGTTGATGCGGAGGTCATCGGCCGACATGTACGTCTCGCAGTCGCTGTTGACCGAGATGGAGTTGATGTGGTAGGTGTGGCCGTTGGCGAAGACCCTGCGCGGGCTCACCTCCACCATCAGGTCCATGGGCTTCAGCACGGGCACCTGCAGGCAGCCGGAGTCAGGCAGGCCCGCGCCTCACAGCTGCGGGGCCGAAGCCAGGGCCCGGGCGCGCCAGGACG